GGAACTTGATATATGGGACATACCGATGGTTCGGACTCTTTGTGTGTGAATGAAAAGCCGATCGGCACGGGTGCGGCAAGGGACTCGCACGCGCGTCGCCTTGGAACATCTGATCACGTGACATATTCGCTTCGTGACGAAACGAACGCCCCAGTGACATTTTAGCGGGGTTGGAAACTATTCGATAAATCGCGTGGGGCCCGCTCGACGGGAGGGTGCGTTCCAAGGGACATACGTCAGGACTCGGTCGGTACGTACCCAGAGCAGGGCAAGCTGCATGGGAAGTTCCTAGAGACACATGGGTGCATACCAAGAGACAGGCAGCCTATCGGGTCGAGGGGCGCAGGAAGTACCCGAAAACGGGTAAATACCAACCCGGCAAGGCCTTAGAGGCATATCATGGGAGGGGGGATTTCCACCTTACAAGGACGTGCCTAAGGGGTGGCTGAGGTGAACATATCCTGGCACGGAGACAACCACCGCGTGTTTGTATTCTTAAATCTCTTAAACCCAGTCACGGAACGCGTCGGCGCAAATTCCGTGTTCAAGGCAGTCAGCATGCTTTCGAGTAACGGATACGTCTCGAGCCGCAGCATCAATAATGCGCAACGCAGCGCACACGACATTTGAAGCTTGACGCGTTTGTCTACTCGACTGCTACGATGATGATACAGGACCACATCCTCCGATGCGTTCGCTTCTCATTGCTATCTGCGCTTCTCTGCGGCGTCATAAACCGCGCTCCAATCCTTGCAGATGTAGTCCCCGGCGAAGATGCTATGTGGACTTTCAGGCAGCGTGAGTCTCACGTCGGATCCCAGTTGTGACCGATGTTGATACCTTTCTCCAGGAAGCGGTAGCCGAACCTCCTCCAGGCGCGTATCGGCGAGACAAAGTATACTCTGGCGCAGATAATTCATGCAATGTCTCAGCAGCGGATCGTCCAGTTGTGCGGCGCGGGAGTTGTATTCGTCCCGAATGATGTCCATGCAGCGCATCTGGTGGAGCAACGCTACTGCATACGTCTCCCGTGGGGAGTCTGCGCCGGACTTGGTGGGCGGGGAGTAGACAAGGTGGTTCCCATCTGGCACCAGGTGCTCGAACTCGACTCCGCCTTGTGGGGTGTCTGGTTGGTAGCGAACCGTGTTCTCAACGTAGAGGTAAGCGGAGGGCACGCCCGAAGGGATTAGGCGATGTGTATCTGTTATTCGTGGGTAGTTAGCTGACGGCATGTACAGAACTTGAGCTCACGGGCAACGCTTTCAGTGAGCTCCAGCCATGGGCGTCTTCTCCAAATCACCACCACCAGGACGAACGTCGCTGCCAAGGCGGATAGCAGTACTCGAGACAGGACGATTCCTGGCATGAAGACGAGGTGGGCCTCCGAAGGGACGCCTACCTCCGACGACTATCGAAAACCACGGACCGCCCTCCTTTTGGCAATTCGGCCTGAGTGCCATCGCCGACGACCCCAGGTCTGAGAGCCTTCCACACCCCAGCATCGTGGCTCCCACAGCACGCCTTCTCGGATCATGGCTGTTCTTCCTGCGGTCGCGCATATGTGTATCTAAGTATAAGCCGTGGGTACATGATGCTGAGAACGATCGGGTGGTGGACCCCGTTTCGGCGGCTGATAGCTACGACACTCAACACCTGCTGCTACGACGTTCATGCCTCGTGATTTCAGTCCCTTCTGCAAAGCACCATGTCCGATCCCTCCTCCATAGAGCTGGACAGTGAACCTCTGCTCGGCGCCGCGGGTACGACAGCCTCCCAAGCTTGACTAAGGGATATATCGAAATAGGTTCTTACATATCACGCTATCATAGGCGCACGTCCCGTAGCTATGAGCCATCGACAAGTCAAATCCGAATTTTTCGGCGCGACAGCTCTCGCCGCCTGCGTCTTTTGCACTATCATCAGCATTGGCCTGGTCTTTATCCCCTCTCGCAGCTTTGATGGGACGCCCGGGCGAGGATCTGGAGTCCCTCTACCCAGACCCAATCAATACATCGGCTTTGAGCTGATCAACCGAAGCGTCTTAAATGAGACTCCGCCAGACCCGATCGTGAATCAGGCCTCCTTCATCCAACAAATCAATAGAGCACGTCCGAAGGAAGTGATGTATATGGGTCCATCGGAGCAATTCACGAAGATAGGCAGCCTGAGCGTCCTCGACCGGCGCATACTAGTCAACACTGAGGTGAGTTCGTTCGATTGGGTATGAATCATGTGTTGACGTACGTCGCACTCAGAACAGCACCGTCGTCCAATACCATGCAGGTGATTATGGAATGGAAAACTGCCAGCTTATCGTGGACATCTGCCAAACTCCGCATCCTGCGGGGGTACATCCCGAGCCTGACAGATCGACCTTGCCAACATCGGTCGTGGACGTCTGGAGGCTCGATTACGCATCTGCGTACCCCTTGGATTCGACATCGCTCACCTGGCGCTCCCGCCCTCGCCGCATCGGTGACGTGCCGTTGGCGAGCATGACATTCTCAGAGAACTGCACTGCTGCCACACCGATTTTCCGTTGCCCTTCCGACACGATGCAATCATTTGAAATCACCTGCGCGACGCCGGACTGCCACCTCGATTTTTGGCAGACCGGTAGAGACCAGTCACCCGGTGAGTCATCTTTCCATTCCGCTGCGACAGCAACCGAATCGAGTTAACGCCCTGTCAGCTGCATATATGATGCAGTTTTCGTCGTTATGAGTATCAGTTGATATTTATGGATAACATCGGAAAATTCGGTTCTCATCGTGCAGAAGCCGAGTGCTTGAAAAGCTTAGGGCGAAATTGTTCAGACACCACAAGTTCAACCCGTAATGAAGCCCCTTCCATAAGGATTTCTATTGTGTGTATCGCAGTACGGATGGTGTTGCAGGATGAGCTACTGGTCTGTCGTTATGAGCATCACCTGGAGGGTAGAGAAACGTGGAATTAGGCAAGACCGTTAAGGAGGTTAACAGCACGAACTCGTCATGTCGATGTGCTGCGCCCGCCACGCCCGCCACTCCTGATAATTCTCATCCACGCCCCGGTAGACCGCACTCCAGTCACGGCACTGCCTTGTATGCCTGCTGCCCCCGTCTCTGATGGAGAAGTTTCGAGTGGCGAAGTCTCCGGGCTCGAGCGTGTCGTCCGCGCCGCATAACAACAGCTGTCGGACGTAGGTCATGCAATGCTGGACGTGCGGCGGGTCCGCAAGCTCGTCGGTATAGTTGAGCAGGCCCCGGCGAATCATGTCCATGCAGTGTAGAGAGTGAAACATGCCGACGAGGAAGAGTCGCTTCTCTGCGCCGAGGCGGACGTAGCCTTGGTGTGTCGGGATCATCTGCAGCAGCGCCCATTCGGCGGCGGAGGCGGGCTCGTTTAGCGCGTACCGGACGGTCTCGGAGAAGTCCATCTCGGCGGTGCCCACTGCGATGTCGTATTTCCACGGATAGTCATTGCCGACGTATGCTGAATGTAGACGTCGATGAGCGGTTGTGAACATTGATGATAGGGAAATGACTCGCAATACTCAGGTCGCGTTCTATGAGGAGGCCGGGCGATTGTTAGAATGTATAAGAATAAACAGTAGTTCAGGACCGCTAGTACAATATACGAGAGATGACGGTTTGTGAGCATGCTAGCAGCTTGCGATGGAGAGACTAGCGGAGCGATGGACGTCGAAAGCGACGAGAGTAGCCTTGGGAGCTTCAATTGGCATATTCCTGCGCAGATAGCGGTGTGAGAGTGTCAACTAGGAATAACCCGAACTCTGGTCGGTTTGCACTTCGCAGACCCCACACCTTATCAACTCGAGGCTGTATGAATACACACAACGGTACCTTACCCAAGGGGTCTGTTCAGCGATCGATACGGGGCCTCGGAGATTCTTGGTCATGCCATATCACGCTGTCATGAGCTACTTTCATCGTGCAATTCGCCCCACACTCACGGCGGGTCAGCCAAGCTTCATCAATGAAACGCATAAAATTGGACTCATGAATGCCAATCTCAGCCTTCAGGGCCGTGCCGGTTATTTCTTGAGGCCCCATCCATTAGATCTGGAACGCTCGATTGGTCCTGCATGACTGTATATCCCGTATGCCGCCGCGAGTTGCATATGATCCCAACCGGGGGGGAGGGGGACGTCTGGAACGTCAGTTCGGAATTAGTTGGTAAAGTCCGGCAACATCCACCCAATTTCTCATACTGGTTTTCCTGGAAACTCAAGGTCAATCCGATATACTTAATCGTATAGCGCATGTCCGGATACCGCTCTCGTAATCGAGTCAGATTGAATGTAGGTATCAATTCAGCGCATTATTGCAGTTCGGATGGAGCGCTCGGTGGTCATACTCGAGAGCCACAGCCGGAACCTGCCGGGCCTCTCTGAGCAGCGTCACGTGCCTCACCCATTGTCGTCACAGGCCGGGGGGGGGGGGGCACGGCCTTGCATGTCTGCGCTTGCGACGACTTCGCGTTCCGCTGCTTCGCGTCTCGGCATTTCTACGAATAAAAGCCGGCTGTTCCGAGGAGTCAAGGCATGCTCGACTTGCAAGAGAATTAGAGGATATGCCACGGAGGCAGCAGAGTCTCATGAGGTGCTTAAGCCCTCGGAGTATGGACAGCCTGTGTGGCAGTCCCATCCTCATCTAAGTACGTTTTCATGTACAGATCGTTGTGCTCGATGATTGGTAGCTGATGATTACCGGTTAGTTAGGCCGAAGGAAACGACACCAGGCGTTCCTGCAGAAGAGTATGAGAGGCGTAGACGCGAGTTGATGGAAAGACTACCTGACAATAGCGTCGTGGTCTCGGTTTCGGCGCCGGTGAAATATATGAGTGGCCGTAAGTATTATATCGAGCAACATCGGGTTATCTTGTCAATTATATGCTCATCGACGTATCGTAGAAATCTTGTGCGGATCGGCGTTCTTTTAACCCATAAATTGTGGTTCACTCGTTGTCACCAGCTACAAGTATCGTCAAGCGTCGGACTTCTGGTATTTGACCGGCTTTGAGGAGCCGGACTCAGCGGTGATCCTCGGTACGTTGTAGTTCTCTCCGATTCCATCTTGGGCCTCATGGGCATCGCACAGAGAAAACCTCCAGCTCTCGTGGATATCGCATGACTATGTTCTCGCACGGAAGAGACATGGCGAAAGAGAAGTGGGATGGACCAAGGTAAGTTCTTAGCCCTGCCGAGATTCCTCGCTCTCACGACCATCCCAGCACCTCTCAGGATGCGCTACGAAGCCACTTCGCCGCAGACGACGCACGGCCGATATCTGTGTTCGCCTCCCATCTCAAGGGTTTACTACCTCTCTTCGACGAGGTAACTGAACGTTGCGTCCTCTGCGTCATCTCAGCTTACATCCGTCTACCAGGTGTACATCGATCTGCCTTCAAACAGGAAATTTTCAGGGGCAAACAATACCAAAAGCCTGCTTAAATTCCTAACACCGAGGTCCGAAGTGGACCCTTTGTCGGAGATTCCAGTGCTCTCGTCCTCCCGTCGCAAACCTCTTGCCCCTGAGGTAGCGCGGTTGCGTGCGATCAAGAGCGAGTCGGAGGTGAGAATTATGCGTAAAGCTGGCGCAATAAGTGGCCAGGCGCACGCGAAGGTACTTTCGCTCCTCTACCGTCTTCCGTGTCGTGTGCTTATCCATGCGGGTTGACCTCGCAGACGATGCGTTTCTGCCGACCTGGTATCTCGGAGCATGCTCTCGCAGCTCACTTCGAATACATTTGCGCTTTGCAGGGATCGCAAAGGCCGGCATACGTGCCAGTCGTCGCGTCCGGGTAAGTTGCGGATCTTTCGAGGTATCTTTTCTGGACTAAGGCTCGTCATAATGCACTTCGATAGCGCTAACTCGCTCGTGATCCACTATACGACGAATAACCATCTTGTTCGCGAAGACGAGATGGTGCTGATCGACGCTGGATGCGAATACAACGGCTACGCGTCAGACATCACGAGGACGTTTCCTGCTTCGGGCGTTTTCTCGCAGCCTCAGCGCGACCTCTATAGCGCGGTGCTGGCGGCACAGAAAGAACTCATTCCGTTATGTACAGAGGTGAGCACTGCCCTCCGCTTTCGGTAGCTCGTCTCATCCTACGTTCCTAGGAATCTGATCTCAGCCTGAACGATCTGCATCGTAAATCCGTCGAATCCCTGCGGAGGGAGCTCCTTCAGATCGGATTTGACATATCGATGATGTCCGGCGACATGAACTTGCTCTATCCTCACTTCCTCAGCCATCCTATCGGCATAGGTACAGTCCCTCCCATATGATTAGAAACTTCGAAGTTATACTCAACGAGGGGTGGTCTTCTTTGCCAAGACCTACATGAATCGACTAATTTCGAGCGGGCAGGAAGATTGAAGGCGGGCATGGTGGTAACAATCGAGCCCGGGTTATATGTCCCGCCAGCCGTGCAATTCCCCAAGTACTTCCATGGCTTGGGCGTTCGCATCGAGGTTTTTTCCCTTCTTGTTTCCTTGCCCGCTAAGACCTCTTCTTACAACTCGCAACAGGACGAAGTGCTCGTGGGTAAAGAGCATGCCACTGTTCTCAGCGCGGAAGCACCCAAGGAGGTTAGTCCTGTATCTCAACACGATCCGGGGTCCAATTCATGACGAGCGATTCAGATCAGCGATGTAGAAGGAGCGTGCCAAGGTTTACTCGGATTCCAGCCATATTGAGACGTAGTATTTGTTATGTTATACGATGCCGTTGACCATGCGGGGAGGTTCCCCACCTACTCCACGCACGATTCTAATCCCTGCGACAAGTGCGGCGCCGACGTCTCAAAGCACCCGCGACAAGACGCGGGCTCGTTCACGATTGTCTACTGCGCTTGCGCACTATCAATTTCTGTTTCTTTTGCGGAGTTACAAAACGCACGTTCAGGGCGGGATGCACTCCCTGACTTTCAAACTGTTGGCAGGATCGGAATCAGGCAGGCCGACAATGCCGCCGGGACATTCTACCACACGTGGTTACGACATGGTGGCAAGGACACTGTCAAACAGCGACTTACCAAGATCTTCAGGCACGGGGGCGGCAAGTACTCCCGCCACGGCGCCGATCAAGCACAGAATGAAGACGTTGACCAAATTCATGGCAAGTTGACTACTGACGAGCGGTTGGTTGGCGAATCGGTACAGGACAACCGAACTTGCACCTCCTATTATACTTTGCAGCCCTGATCACGGTCTGCACTCGTTGCGCATGGAACAGGTTATTCTTGCGCATGTACCGGTGCATGTTTCTTCGGGAATCCCAGCCTTAACCGCGCTCTCCCAGTGTTTGACAGGTACGGATGCGCTCGCACCCTGTGTGAACGTCTTTAAGCACGTATCAAGAGATGCCCGGTTTCGGATCGGACCGAAGGCCTCATCGGGATGCGGACTCCCAAGGCTACACACAGGATCTCACGCGACGCAAAGCGATTAGGATCTCTCACCGAGTCATCGACTCGGGAATTTGAATCGCGCGGTCACCAAACCGGCGTGTACGAGCTCGTATGCTCGACGGCAGTCGGTTCAAAGACTCTTCAAATGCTATCTACGGGAAACAATCAATAATGGAGAACCGAATGCTGCACAGGGTACAGTAAATTTGATCTTAATAGATACTTCAGACAACCCAGCAATGACTACTTTGTCTCCGCAAAGGATAGCATCTCCGTTGAGTCAACGACTAAGGACGGTTCCTTGGCGGTAACCGATGTGTTCATCGAGGTATTCCTCGTTGTAGCAGCGGCAGTCGCGAATTGCATGCTGGTCCCAGTAGTTGCGTGAGCGCCGTGCATGCTGCGCATCGTCTGCTTTGTTACCGCCTTCCCTTGCGCCACGCGAAGGACGATTATGAAGGGAGCGATAGACTGTATCGGATGTTAGCACTCAGCCATCAAACGAACGTCACAGCGCACCTCAAGCTGCCCAACAATTGGTTGGAGAATGTACGTCCCGGTCGAGTTGAGGGCGAAGGTGATGATGAACGCGAGATCGATTGCGGAGTAGATGAAGGCCGACTCGATCAGCAATGCGGAGACGGAGGTGTACAGCGAGCCGTGTTCGGGTCCCAGGTATTTGCGGACGGTGGCGCGAGTGGACATCAGGCGAGCGACGATGAGCAAGGTGATGAGCATGTTGAGGGCTACGACGAAGGAATAGTAGGTGATTGTCGTATCGTTGCCTAGGGCTGTCCATGTTGGAAGCGACAATTCGGCGAGAAGAAGGCAGGATAAAACTCAAGGAATACTACGTTGAGTTCGTCTGTCTATTTTTCCGATCTCTGACTCACCGATACTCCCAATATACAGAAGAACGGGAATAGGCATCATCCATGTCCGAAGTGTATCAGCTATAACGTATAAACGGTAGAGCTGATGCATGCCTCGTCAGTATGATTCGTTCCTATGATATCTACGATATGATAGCGCGGACGTACCAGAAACCCATCCTGAAGCCATTGATTGAAGAAATAGCACGCTGTTGCAACCAGGTTCAGATTCTGGGTGATTGGCACCTGCTCAGAAGCGAAAACGGCGGGCCCGCCAGGATAGTTTCGATCGTCAACGAATGCCAGCTGGTTCATGAACATGGCTATTCCGTTGGCGATGGTGCTGAAGCTGAAGATAAGACCGACGAAGAGGAGTGCCGCATAAGAATATTTTGGGTCTCTCTTCCGTTGCGCCCACAGCAGGGGTACGCATTGGACGAACAAGGCCAAGTTCAGTCCTAAGCGTGAAATTGTATTGATCGCTCATACATGAAGATAGATAATGGCAGACCATATGCCACGGCGCCCAACCCTGCACCGTTGAAGATGGCTCTCTCCAAGGCTATGATGGATGCAGGTTCGTCGGGTGCGAAGCTTGACGAGGAGGAGTTAGACATGGTGTGCAGAAGCAAGGTCCAAGCTCCGTGGTCCGTGGTATCACTTCCAGCGAGGGCGCGCCTTTTAGTGTCATTCATCCATCCGCCGACGAGATTCCCCGGTCTAACCGCGTATGATTGTGAGACATGGTTACTCTTCCCGTCGTGCGTCGCAGTCAAGAAGATTCCGCATCTTATCGGAACAGTTGATGCGAGTATTTCTGGAAAGGCACCAGCGACATTGTCTGGTAGTGAGTAACCGTGCAACCTCATGAGCGCCTTCGATCAAGCATGCGGACAGAGATACCCTGAAACAGGACTCCGTGGGTGGGCGATGCTGCTGCACACCCACGGCCCGGAATCCTTCGACTTACGTACTGCACCTACGATTTCCGTGGACAACGGGATATACACTCCTCAATTTCATCGCCATGAACGGTAACTATCCCATATCTATCCTAGTTTTAGATTCGCCTTTATGCAGAGAAATGCACGAAGTCGCAAAATCCCCACTTTAGACATGCCTCGACCGGAAGGTCGCAACCCGAGACACCGGCTCATGATGGCAAGCACACTATATATTCTATTTGTGCTCAGGGCCTGGTGTTGCGGACGGGACAGGTACACCCGCTGCATGTCCCTTGGCTGGCATGCAACTCTGACATCTGATCCTGTATGGTCGTAGAGTACACCGATACAACTCGGACTACTCTAAGACGCACACCCACAACTTGAACGTTAACAATACACCTCTGATCGCGAGCTATCCTGGACATGAGCGATTACCATCATTCCGCTCTGCTTTACATACCTTGTTTTCCCATTCAGGGAGGTACACAATCTTCCTTAACTGTTATGCCGGGCAAGGAGTCTGCCGCATTGCTGATGCATCCGTCTATGTCCATGATTGTCAATATCTCGTTGTCACGAACCAGAAAGTGAACACCAACTACGAGGAAGAACAGATGCGCGTACTCCGTGCAGGATGCAGAGAGAAAACACGAAGAGTCGAATGTCCAGCTTCATGTATGACTTCTCCGTTTCGTGTGTCGAGTGGATCTCGAGAACGGGCTGAGCAGTGTTTACACGACTAACACCGTTCTTATAGTAATACCGTATGCCGGAAGCATCCAAGCAGTGCGGGAAATTCTCTCTGGCGTGATTAATACATGGGTCTTTCTGGCCAGGATGGGACGCGGTACGTGCGCACAGGTTCACCACTTCGATAGCGCCCAAGTATACTTAACATCTTTGACATGCTCGGATCTTCTTGCTCCGGATAACCGCGATCGTTGTCTATTCTGGAGTCAGAGATAGTTACTCAGGGGGGGAGGCAATGCGCTCCAACGGTGCTCATTGATATCGCTCAGCGGACTATTTCCCATTGTAGCTTCAGTCTCCAGCACGACTGCAGGATGCTCAATTGCGACTTCATAGTCCGTTGGCATATTTTTGTATCAGCGCCGATTGCGTGAATACAAATTAGGATGATTCCATGTGTTAAAAGTAAGTGAACGCGCAACCGTAATACCCGAAGACATCCTACGATACTTATATGTACTGGTTCTACTTGCGTTCCGTATACGAAACCATTTCCATAGAATCATTGGTGAGCGTTGCCTTCGCCGTCATGGACGAGTCAGCTCTAGATATGTCAGGAGTGCGGAATTGTAGAGTGACACAAAATGAGTAGCGCACGAGGCAAAAAAAAATTACATGCGGCGAATGAAGACGAGGCGTGAATATCGGAACCTCGGACGTCCCTGTGGATTTGGACCGTGGAAGACGATAAGGAGATAAATGAGACAAGCGGGGCAGACAGCACGACACCAGAGATCCAGACCTAAACGGATGTAAACCAGGAGGAGAGATTGGACTGCGACAGCATAAAAAGATTCAACGCGTCGTCATTCGGCAGGAGAGCCAGCGACCTCGAACGCCTCCCTCGTCAGCTCGAGCGCGGCGAGGTGGAGCGGAAGCGCGGGATGCGTGTGGAGCTGCTGTCGTGCACGCGCAAGCACGGAGAGTTCGTACCAGTTGCGCGTCGCATCCTCGTGCGTCTGCGCGTCTGCGCATCGGGGATCGTGCACGTCACGGACGAAGCGATATCATGGAAGTGGTGCATGCGAACCATGGCCGTGCGGGCAGGCGAGACGTGCAGGAGCGCGGTACGTAGGTAGCAGACCGAGCTCGTCCGATGTGGCCGCCAACGCGGATGGGAACGGGGAATGCGATGGACCTGCGGAGGCGGTACCTATTGCGCCCGGATTGCTTCCGGGGACGAAGGCGTGCTGGGCCCCGAGAAGCGCCGGAGAGTCGGCCAGAGTCGGTGGCAGGATAGGCGTAACCTCATACTGGGTGATGAAGTAGATGGACTCGGAGAAGTTGACGTAGACGCCCTCGGAGGCGTCGTTCGTCACCCGCGGTCAAGGGGTCCGCGAATAGGACAGTGATGTGCACCATGGGCAACTCGGTGCATGCGGGTACGACGTTCTGCAGATGAGTGACCCAAGTTAGCAAAACGGAAGCGTAAGCGGGTTTGACCATCGGTGGACTACTCAGCGTGGAGCTCGGGGGAGCCCAGAGGCCCAAGTTCGCGAAAAACGAGCCTCCACTCGACGTTTTCCCTCCGGCCGTATTCGACCGCGAACGACCAGAGCTGAGAAACGAACGGTGTCTCCACATTATCGCTAGGAGTGAGCCATACCCCCGTGTCGTGCAGGACGGTGCGGGCGGTGCCAGGCGCGCGCAGGGGATGGCTGAGCGGCTGGAGCGCGCCGGGGTGCCCGCGGGGAGGTAGGGCGGGGGCGGCGGGGCACGATGGCCCGTCCGGGACGATGCGCTCGTCCTCGCCCGCCTCCGCGTCTTCCTCGAGCGAGTCCGAGTCGCTGCGAACTTGGAAGTCGGCGTGTGTCGTGCCACGCGAGCGCGACGCTGTTTTAAGGATGTGAATTCCCCTTTTTGGTAACTACCCCTCGTTGCCTCAAGCCCCGGCCTCAAATGCCCATCTGGATCGCTGTTATTTCGAGTAGTACCCTTCTATAGATAATATGCCTGTTATTTAAGCTTTGGGAACTTTCACCTGGCACGACGAATTGGGGATCAAGCTACCAACGTTACGTCGCTGATGATACCGATAATTGACATTCAACGCTCCGTTTCTGCAAGACCAGTCCAATGTGTATGATTGCGCGTTGCACATATTGATTATTTTGATGGAGAGCTGATATTAGAAGCATTGATATCACAGCGTGCGAACCGTTACAAGTCCTTTTTCAACACATAAACAGTAATTTCACTGACACCTATGTCACCCTCCCCCGTCAGCCTTTGTTCGCTTATCATCTGATACCCTAGATGTTGGAACATCTTGAGCTTTGTTCAATGGTCAGTCATGGTCATGTCTTGTGGCGAGGAGCATGTGCCGCGATCACCACCTACATTGTCGACGTGCTCGGTTTCTGCGAATATGGGAACTTGATCCGCTTTTGCCTTCCGAGCAAGCTCAGCGCTCGCACACCGGTATCTTCATCGCATCCGCACTCACGAGAACTTCTCCCGCTTCAATCAGTGCGCGCCCTACACCCCTTCGCCTGTAGTCGAATGCAACTCCGAGGCTGTTCATGGACCATGCACCGGTCTTCACCCCTGGTCCAATGATAGCATCCGTTACGGCAGCATACTCCGGTAGGAACTATGAACGTTGCACGCTCTTGATTCAGTCGCACGGATCAAATGGAACGTGTGCATACCTTCTCCGTCCACCACGCCACGATCTTAGGCGGCAATGTCGCGAGGAAATCCAAGAATCCCTGGGCTTGTTGTTCATCGCTTCGAAGGGAGCAAAATCCCAATGAGCGATTTTCGATACACTGGCCGATAACTCACTCGCCCATCAGCTCCTTACCAGGCCCCATATACGTCACGGCTCCTATGATCTCCTTCGTCGCCGAGACCTCTGCGACGACGAGTTTTCCTCCGACCGCGGCGGCGGCAAGACAACACCGGTGGAAGGCGAACATCTTCGAGCGATCTCCGCCGCACGCCACGCACGTGATAGAATCTGTGTATTCAATATTCAGACGCAGGAATGTCGGCCATGGCCGCGACTATTGCTACACCTAAAGTGGGTGTGATGGTGGTATGAGATACTTACCGTCGATCAACGCATCCGCGAGCACCTTTGCGGCCTTATCAAGCTCTTCTTCTGTTGTGCACGATCGAATGGTCATTATGTTACGTTTGCGATGAGATCGTGCACTCACGCGAGGGACTCGTCAGGATCCGAATGATCACTCCCTCCAGCATATTACAGCTCTAAACGAGGCTTGACGCTGCTTGGGTAGGTGAGCTCATCGCAGTGAAGCGAGGGTGCTGTGATATCGCAAAGCAATTGCTGTCCGGCATAAACTACAGCCCGGCGCAACGCTGTCCGCCATGCGCACCGCAGGCAGACGAGGACCTGCTTCATCATCTAGGCTTCGCTCTTTCCTCGAGCGCTCGCCATGCGCATAATTCGAGAAGCCATATAATCCGTCGAGCGACGCTTCCAGATGGCCAATATAAGATATACATATACCTGAAATCATCAAGCAGGCATGATAGTGCGGTACGGACATGCGATCGACATATTGAATTTGCCGTCCGTGTTACGTCTCATATCGCTCTGGACACCAATTCCTCTACGAAGCTTCAATCCCATGTGCTCTGAGGGCGAAAGAGCACGTTGAAGAGGACGTAACGCAGGACTACAGAGATGACGAACCGAAGGGCTAAGGCGGAATGCAGTCCTCTTGAAAGGGACTAGATGGCAGCACGCCGTCTGTGACGTCGTCTGGACACCCTCCTATATGATGACGATGAGCCTGACACGGGTCTGGGAGGAAATGGATAACGAACGAGGGATCACAACGGCACTCGCCCCGTATAGTACACATATAGAAAACATGATAAACGAGACACCGAGAGTTTTGAGCGTCATTTGGTACGAGAAGGCTGAAGTGCGAAACAAGGGCGGTCGGAGACCCAGAGACCGACGAGTGCTACGATATAGCTAGGCGAGATCGTGAGGCGATGTCGTTTCTCCGCAAATACCTCCCGCGCATGGAAATAGCGCTGCGCAGCATGATATGCATTAGGATACATTCCTCGGCGCGTGCGAACACGGTTCTCGGGTATGGCATCCGGGTTCGTATTCTGGAGATAAAAGGGCTAGTAAGCGTACACGGTGCTTGGCTATGAATAGGATTTATCTGCTCCATAAGCGCAGGGGGTTCGGAATCCTGACTTGGGAAAGGACTAGCCTTTTGAAGTATTATCGCAAGCGCAGCAAGCGGTCTCCAGTGTTGCTATCCTCGCGCGTAGAGCAGGTGAAGGCCGTCGTTTTATCTATATTACCAACGCAACGATCAGGAACCTATCCGGTATACCGAGAGGAGAGACCTTGCACCTGGAAATGAGCGTGCCGACAGCCCAATTCCGTGACCGGATGTGGTGGGGACGGAGCGTGGGATATCATGAGATGAAACCCAAACTGCGTTGATATTTTAGTGGCGATGGCGTGATGGGCGGCGGGATGCTTAATCACAGGACGAGCGATGGTAAGCGCAAGTTTGAGAGACAGATGAGAGAGAGGGCGAACCAAGCATTGTCCCGAGTGATGTGTTCCAAACCAGTGCATAGAACCGACGGGCGATCACGAAGTCCGGGAGTGGGTCGCGTGCGCGTTTTGACTCACATGTACCTCATAATTTCTACGTGTAAAGGAGCGGGGTCCACCAGTCGTGCTCCGGTAGGCGCAGACGCGTCGTGTTGCGCTGATCATTGCTCTCGTTGCCCTCCTCTTGTGGTTTGCGAATAGTCTGCTTTATCGAGTCACTCTGGAAGGCGCATATACATCATATGCTACTCACTGCATATCAAATGCTGACAGAATGACAGACCCCACCCCATTCGACTTTTTTCAATCCCACCGCCATCCCCACCGTGTACCTCCACGTCGAGAACACGGTCCACTACCACATAGGCACCGCGCGCGGAAAAGCCGAGTTAGAGCAGCTCCTGCCAAACGGTAGCCACCTCGTCCACCTCCCGCCGAAGTCGGAGCCAAGTTCCGCCCCACAGACGTACACCGTCGCGCTCTTCCACCAGATGCGATGCTTGAACATCACCGTAGACGCGTACAGCTCCCGCACGGCGGACGTGCGCGACCCTCTCCTGAGGCATTGCATGAACTACCTTCGGCAGAGTCTACTGTGTCAGGCGGACACGAGGCTGGAGCCGGTCCTGCTTCCGCTCCCTGGAAGACAGTAAGTCAACTATTAGCGACCATACGTCGGATGTAACTCTCAGACAAACACAGGCCACATACCATTTTCTCGAACGACTAACGTTTGCAAGGAATCCCGAAAGGATGCGAAAGCCAGCGGAAAAGAGCTTTCACGGACAGACGATATCTTGCTCAGGACGAGGCGGACAGATGACGTAGCAGCATTGGCTAGCGATGTACGTGTTACACCTCCTCCGAGAGCTATCACCAAGTCTAGGACAATTCACGTCAGCTATCGAAGTCGCGCTGTTATTCTCAAGGCCGTTGCACCCACTCACATCCTCGAGACGCCACAGTCAGATCCATTCATGATCGATCCACGTCGACCTCCTTCCAAACACCCCCTCGACCGTGGACTCCCTCGCTTCTGCTGACGTCAACACCCGATCGGCCGCGACACGCCTCCCACACCTGCGCCGACACATAAACGTCGTGAGTACAGCATGATTTTTTTTTGTATATCAAAAGAAAAAAGGGCGGAAAGAATGCGAGGAGGGGGGGGGGGTTCGGCGCAACGTAACGCACCGGTCGAGTTGTACTCTGCGTAGAACGTGGTGTTCGCGATGACGCCACCGGAGGAGAAAGGCTTGAAACCGGCGGGATTGATGCTGGCGTCCATGGACACGTTCAGGTACACGGTCGCCGCGAGGTCGTTCCACGGCCGGCCTGAATATCGAACGTCAATACTTCGTACTTGGGGAAGGGAGGAGGGAGCGAAGGAAGGGGGGGAGGAGCTTACCTAGATAACACTCGCCAGCGGTGACCGTCGTGGCGTTCGCGTCGGGGGACTATCGATCGTTTCGTCGGTGCGTGGATACGAGGGGAGAGAAAGGAGTAGGGGGCGTACGCGGACGATGGCAGAGTTGGCGATGTAGGCGCCGTACCGATTGCCGGGGGCGTCGGTGAGGTTGGTGCCCTTCCAGGTGACGAGGCCGCCGCCGCAGGCCCTGTTGGCGAGCACGACGCGTTAGAACCAACTAACAAAAAAGTTTGCCTACGTCAAGCTGTTTGCTCATCAATACGAGCGATGAGGAGCTCACGTGGTGCCGAAGCCGAACAGGTCTGCAAGAAAGAAAGAAAGAAAGAAAGAAAGAAAGAAAGAAAGAAAGAAAGAAAGAAAGAAAGAAAGAAAGAAAGAAAGAAAGAAAGAAAGAAAGAAAGAAACGACATCGAGAAGGTAAGTTCGAGAATGAAGAGGTGACGCGAGTGGAGGTATACGGTACAGTCGGTTTGGCCGTAGACGATCGAGTCGACGACGTACGTGCTCCCGTTCCGGCCGGTGTACCACGTGCCTTGGTAGCTCGCGAACGAGCAGCCGTAGAAGGACGCGTTCGCGTACGATATGTCCGTCACGAGCGCTTGCGAGATCGCGTAGTTGGCCTGTGTTTGCACATCAATTTTTGTCAGCAACGCACGTACGTGGGAATATATGCGCTCTCAACGATGAATACATAAGTTAAAATGAGATAAG